ATAATAATAATAAAGATAAATGAGATAATGATAAATAAAATATTCGTATTTTTCTTATACGTTTTTTTGTTTTTGGAATAATTTATATGGATAAAAATATAACAATAATTATTTAATCGAAATAAATATAAATAAAATGTAAAAGAAAAATAAAAGATGATCGTTTTAAATGATCTGACATAATCATAGAGAATCCAGTCATTTCTAGTTGCATTTTAGTTTCAAGGTTATTTTCATTAACTATTGCATATAAGGAACTGTTGTTGATAGACTAGATTTTTAAAAAGAATAGAGATTTTTAATTATAGATTAAAGTGAGAGAATGGGAAAATTATTATAAACGTCGAAATAAATTATCCGTGCGAAGTAAAAATATGATTTATGTGGTTTTTTTTTTTATCTCTCTCTCTCTCTCTCTCTTTCCTCCTATTATTATTATTATTATTATTATTATTTTTGAACGAAACAAACTTAACAATTATTGTCAATTTGTACAACTGTATTTCTTTTTCTTATCTTTTCTTTTTTTCTTTTTTTTATCGTGTCAGATCGTTGGTAAAACAATAAAACATATTCGAAAAGTTAGAAAATACAATTTGTCGGAAAAGTGACAGCGGAAGAGAATAAGAAAAAAAATAAAAAAATATATATTGTTAACAAATAATTGTATAATAATAATAATAATAATAATAATGATCGATAATTTGTTTTTAAATGTTGTAAAATATTATTAATAAAAAGAAAACATTTGGTTAATGTACAAATTAATAGGTACACCAGGTAACTCGTCTAACGATCAGAATAATAATCTTATGTATATGAATTAGAAAAAAAGAATTAGAAAACAATACATAATAAACGATTTAAAAAGAAAACAATCGTATTGATTGATAAAAAAAATCATTGTATAAATAATAAAATAAAATAAAATAAATTTGAGAAACATTAACGAGAAATAAAAGACAAATTCTAATAATGTTAATGGAACCGAGATGAAGAAATAGGTTAGAAAAGACGCCATATTGATATTGAGAAGACATTTTCGAATAAATAAAAATAAAAGAAACAAAATCTAATAAAGATAAAAAAGAGAGAAACAAACGAACGATTAAAAAAAAATATATATATATAAAAAAATTAAATATAATAAATTTAATAGATAATAAAAAAAAGAAAGTATGGTGGATTAAAATAAATCACAAGGCCAAGAAGTTGCAAGTAATAATACCTCAAACTGATACTTTAGGAACGGACCTTGATGTTTTATAGGGAACGCTTGGGCTGACCTTGACCCGAAAAAACATTATATCGACAATAAGAATAATGGGAGAGAATTCTTAAGCGTATTACTCGCATGATTCTTCTTATTCTTATGTTCCACGTGATTGTATTATCGTTGATTGTTATCGTTGTCAACGTTGTGTCGTTGTTCTTGTTCTTGTTCTTGTTCTTGTTGTCGTTGATTAATAATAATAAAATGTATCACAGGGAATTTGGAAAAGGTAACAAAAAAAAAAGAAATGCTAAATATAATTTATTATTAAAACCT